CACTCAACTCAGGCTATTCTCAGCATAACTGCCAGGATAATGCACTGAAAATTTGTGAGAAGGCAGTTCTTTCTGTACTAAAACCCTCGCAACTCATGCAGCTGCTAGCTAGTCTTTCCGATAACCTAAACATCCTTTTAGCGACACATGGTTGTAAGGATTTGATTGATGGAATGTATATGTACTAATTCTCCTTATTTTTCAATTGATACTCTAGCATCTTAAATGATTCTTTCAGGCAATGGCTCCAGACATTCTGGCCATTTTCCTGTACAGAGATTCAAGTTTTTAAAAGTGTTCTTCTATTTTTTTTTTTTAAGATTTACTTATTTTTATTGGAAAGGCAGATATACAGAGAGGAGGAGAGACAGAGAGGAAGGTCTTCTGTCTGATGGTTCACTCCCCAAGCAGCCACAATGGCTGGAGCTGAGCCAATCCGAAGCCAGGAGCAGGAGCCAGGAGCTCTTCCAGGTATCCCACCTGGGTGGTGAGTCCCAAGGCTTTAGGCTGTCCTTGACTGCTTTCCCAGGTCACAAGCACGGAGCTGGATGGGAAGTGGGGCTGCCAGGATTAGAACCGGCGCCCATATGGGACCTGGGCACATTCAAGGCAAAGACTTTAACCACTGTGCTATTGCGCTGGGCCCCTAAAGTGTCCTTAAATGTGGCAACAAGATGTGAACATCGTGCTCCAATTTTTGTATAAACAGCATATTCTCCCCCACACATCCTCTTCCATTGAAGCCTAGGACCGAATTAGCTCCCCCCCAGCCATGTGATAAAATCAGATTATATTCTATTTTCAGTTTATATAAACTCTCACATTTTAACCCAGAAACTGATATTAGTTCAAATCTACCCATCCTTGCAGTTCATATTTTCAAACTATGTAAGGATTGACCAAAATGTTTCTTTTGCAGACTGATTCCTTTTATTCAAGACAATGTGCTTCAATGCCTCTAATTGCTCAGTTTTGGTACCATGGCAACACTGTTACTTGCTACTATTTTTTTTTCAGCCATTACTTTTCCCATAAAGTTGTTTTTCTCATCTTCTCTACTAGCGTATAATGCAGAATTATCTTTGTGTTGCTTTGTTTTTTAGCTGAGGTTACTTTGATCTTTTAAATGCTTGTCCTGATATGACCAGTTTCTATAAAGGATGAATATTAGTAAACGTAACTGTTGGGTTGTCAAAGGAACTGTACAGTTTCTTCCAATGACTAAAGGTAGATGAAAAGATGCACACTATATTAGGATCATAAAAATAAAAGTATTTGTTTTTATATGAGACTCATGAAAATATGATTAGGAATTTGAGGTAAATTTGGCAAATGTATTAATTTATAAAATAGACGCTATGTAGCTTTATATACTTCTGATCTCTAGGGCACAAATTACTTTGAATTTCTTAGTTGTTATCTCAAAGACAGAAATGTAGCAGGTCACCAAAATCACAATGTCCATCTTTAGGCAGACCAAATCGAACAAATTTAACAAATTGATTTGAATAACAGCAAACAAAAATGATCTGAGAATGAAGAAGTTTCCAACTAAAAAGAGCTTATGGGCCCTGCTGTGGCAGAATGAACACGCAGGGCTTACAGACTGAACGTGGAAGCAAAGTTAAGCAATAACCTAGTGGGCAACATTACATTAAGCACTTGTATAATTTGGGTCTGGGTGAATAGGAGGTCTTTTGTTATATAACCATTGAGCTGGCTTGCGATTGGTTGAGATGGCTCTTTATTTTTTTGTTTTTAAAGTCACTTGAGAATAAGAAATATTCCTAAGTTTTAATTTGCTTATTATGAGCTCTTGGTGTAGGGGCAAACTCATACTAAAGTTTTTTTTCTTATTTAACCAATCCCTAAGGTTTAAGATGTGATTCCACCAAAAGTTCAGAATAGAATCACCTTATAATTTGGAATTCTAGTCTAAAGAATATAACTAAAAGAACTGGAAGTAAATATTAAGATGTGTGTTTGTCAGCATTCATAGTTGTATTACAATAACCAATGATAGATGCATCCGAAATACCCATCCATGAGTGAAGGGGTAAGACAATGTAACATATCCATACAATGAAATATCATACAACAATAAAAAATACTGATGTACATTTCAACATGATGAACTTTTAAGTTACGCTAAATAAAAGAAACCAGGAAAAAAATGTCACACAAGATATGATTGTGTTGGGCCCGGCATGGTGGCGCAAGTGGTTAAAGGTCCTCGCCTTGCACGCCCGGGATCCCATATGGGTGCCGGTTCTAATCCCGGCGGCCCCGCTTCCCTTCCAGCTCCCTGCCTGTGGCCTGGGAAAGCAGTCGAGGACAGCCCAAAGCTTTGGGACCCTGCACCCGCGTGGGAGACCTGGAAGAGGCTCCTGGCTTCGGATTGGCATAGTATCGGCCCGTTGCGCTCACTTGGGGAGTGAATCATCAGACGGAAGATCTTCCTCTCTGTCTCTCCTCTCTGTATATCTGCCTTTCCAATGAAAAAATAATAAAAATAAATCTTTTAAAAAAAAAAGATATGGGCCCGGCGCGGTGGCGCAAGTGGTTAAGTCCTCGCCTTGAACGCCCGGGATCCCATATGGGCGCCGGTTCTAATCCCGGCAGCCCCGCTTCCCTTCCAGCTCCCTGCCTGTGGCCTGGGAAAGCAGTCGAGGACCGCCCAAAGCTTTGGGAACCTGCACCCGTGTGGGAGACCCAGAAGAGGCTCCTGGCTTCGGATCGGCATAGTATCGGCCCGTTGCGCTCACTTGGGGAGTGAATCATCGGACGGAAGATCTTCCTCTCTGTCTCTCCTCTCTGTATATCCGCCTTTCCAATAAAAAAATAATAAAAATAAATCTTTAAAAAAAAAAAAAGATATGATTGTGTTTAGCTGACATATCAGAGCAGTTAAGAGACTAGAAGCTTAGTGGTTGTGGGGGTTGTAGAGAGAGAGAAATAGGGATTGAATACGTCAATACTATTGGATTGCCTTTGGGGGTGACAAAGATGCTTTGGGAATAGGCTGAGGTGATGCTTGCACAACATTATGAATCACTAAATGTTACCAGTTGTACGGTTAATTTGGGGGCTGGTGTTATAGTACAGCATGTCAGGCTGTTGCTTCCAACGCTGGCCTCCCATGTAGGCGCCTCTGCGTGACTAATAGTGACTGGGTGCACGTTTGTGTTAAGTATGGTGCTAAGAACAATGCACAAATAATCTCATGGAATCCTTAAAGTAGTCTTCTGTGGAAGGTTTTGCAGCCTTCTTCCGTGTATATACAAAATACAGCTCAGAGAGATCAAAAAGCTAGCCCAAAATCACAGGCAGAAGTGTAAATGCTCCAACAATCCTTGGAAACGGACACAGAAAGCAGGATGAAACTAAAGCTGAACCAACAGACCTCTATGATTCCTACCTGAAGGGCAGGGTGGGTGTCAGGAAAACAAATGTGCCGAGGCAGAGCTGGGTCTATGTCCAGTTTTAACTGTAATGTTTGCGGCTTAACTGCTCTGCTACACTGAGACTCAAGTCCAGAGTTTGTAATAATTGGATTCCCCACCCAGATAATTATGGCAGTAAATTCTGGGCCATCATCATTATAGCCATTATAATTTATTGTGCCAAGCACACATCAGTACATAACAGCCATAGATTCAGGAACAATAAATCTTAAAAAGTCTGAATGAAGAACAGGCAGGAAAGTGACCTTCCTTATAATTTTTTGAGATGTCAAAGACTGTTTTCTTGGGTTGTTGGAATCAGGATGTTGACAAGGTAGCAGATAATGCTTTTGATTAACAAACTCTTCTAAACAAATATATATGTAATAATCAGGTAAAATACCACATGTAGTAAAGTTATTGTGTCAGCTATTGCTGCTAGGTGCTGCCATGTAGCTGCCAGGTTTAAGTACCAAGTGTCTACTGCCAACATTAAAGGAAATGGGGAAAAAAAAAACCTTTGCCAAATTGGGCAAATTGCTTCTATGGGGTTCATTTCTTATGATGTAAATGAAAGGGTTGAATTTCCAGGTCTTACAAGTCTTGGGTATTTGATTTTATGTCTGTAGCCTTGTCCGCTTCACGTGGCACTAGCTTCATGTGGCACATGTCAAAATATTTATCTCACAGTACCATAGCGCTGTAATTCATTAATTCTTTCAATAAATGAATGTTCAGCAGGTTCCAACTAGTGTAGTGAATAATTAGGCAAGGTCCCTGTGCTCATGAGGCTCACAGCGCAAAGGATAACCCAATTTCAATTCCAACAAACGAAATAGTCACTAATAGTAACTAAAAGGCAACCACTGGGTGGAAAAGTGCTAAAAATGAAATGGGACGGTGTGTTATTTCTTTTTTTCATAAATGAAGCTGATGATGAATGCCTTTATTTCCAAAAATGATGACCTAATAAAATCATCTTTTTTTAAATACAAAAAAGTGGGAACTTACTAGTAACTGCTGAATAACTATTCCACTCGAAGAAAACTGTATGGTGACTGCTCCACTTTGGGTCTTCCAGGAATGAGTAGAGGTTTCTCAAAAACAGCAGCAAGAGTCACTTTTGCGGGGGGTGAGGGGAGGTTCTTTTGGTAAGTCAAAAACAAATTGAAAACCGAGAACTTGGAGCCAGGAAAGCTACCGATCTAGTATGGCCATCATAATTTCGTTCCCTCTAGGCTCCCTAGACAAATAGAACCGGAGAGCCAACTCATCAGGCAAATCACCACTTCATACCTTGAACTTCAAAACAGACTTCCTGTCCTTTATCATTGCCCAGCGTTAAGAACCTGGGCAGAGGTCAAGGTGTAGTTGAGTGAGAGCTCCCGGGGATGGCACGTGGAAGGGCAGGGCGGAGACGGCGGGAGGCGGCGCGGACGGCTGAGAGAAGCCGCTGCCCCGGCAAGGTGGAGGGCTTCGAGCCGCTCAGGTAGCTCTTTCCCGCTCAGGTGAGCTCCTCCCGCGCTTCTCATTGGCTGAGGCGGCCGCGGCGCTAGGAGGGCGACGCAGCCCGGTCTAGTTCAGGGTCTAGGGCGGCGCGTCACTTCCGGTAGCGCGGATCTTGTAAAACACCCTGGAGAGAAAATGGCGGCGGCGACGGCGGCGGCGGCGGCAGCAGCAGCAGCAGCAGCAGCAGCGGCTTCGGCGCCTCAGCAGCTCTCGGATGAGGAGCTTTTCTCTCAGCTCCGCCGTTACGGCCTGTCTCCTGGTCCCGTGACGGAGAGCACCCGCCCCGTGTACCTCAAGAAGCTGAAGAAGCTTCGAGAGGAAGAGCAGCAGCAGTACCGGTCGGGGGGCCGCGGCAGCAAGACGCGGAACAGTAATAACAATAACACGGCAGCCGCCACGGTCGCGGCCGCGGGACCCGGGGTCCGGCCGGTGCCGGGCGGCGATCTCTCCTACTTGAGGACCCCTGGAGGTGTGGGCCGAATCTCGGCTTCAGGCCCGGAGAGCCCCCTGGGAGGAGGGCCCGGGGGCGCGTCGGCCAGCCCCGCGGTGGGCAGCAAAGTGCTGCTGGGCTTCAGCTCGGACGAGTCGGACGTGGAGGCCAGTCCCCGGGACCAGGCCGGCGGCGGGAGGAGAGACAGGGCTGCGCTCCAGTACCGCGGGCTCCGAGCGTCCCCGGCGCCCCTGGCCGCCAGCGAGCTGACCCCCAGCCACCCGGCCGAGCGCAGGAAGCCCCACGCGTGGTGGGGGTCCCGGAGGGCGGCGGGCCCCGAGCCGCAGAGCCCGGCGGGCAGAGATGGGGCCGCGGGGGACGAGGACGAACAGCAGCAGGGAGAGCACGGGGAGGAGAGGGAGCCGGAGGCCGAGGAGACGCTGTGGGCGAGCCGCCCCGTGAACGGGAACCGGCTGCTCCCTTACAGCTGCCGGGAAAACTATTCGGATTCGGAGGAGGAGGAGGATGAGGAAGAGGAGGAGGACGACGATGACGACGACGTGGTGGCCTCGGCCAGACAGGTATTGAAGGACGACTCCCTGTCCCGCCATCGGCCCAGACGGAGCCACGGCAAGGCGCTCTCTTCGCTGACTGCTAAAGCGGCCGGCAGCCGGCTGGAGACTTCGGCCCTGGGAGGGGGAGGACTGGCGATGAATGACAGGGCGGCGGCCGCCGGCGGAGGTCTAGACAGGAGCAGAAACCTCCCAGAGGCGGCGGCGGAGCCGGGAGGAGGGTGTGATCCGGTGGATTCCAGCCCCGTTCCCCGGTACCGAGTGAACGCCAAGAAGCTGGCCCCTCTCCTGCCCCCGCCACGGACCGACACGGACCCAACCTTGGATTCGTGCACAGGCTCCCTGCTGAAAAGCAACAATCATGTCGGCGGCGGGGCCTTCGGCGTGGACTCTCCAAAGGTTTATTCCAACAGCCTTCCCCCCAGCTCGGCCTCTAGTCCACTCAGGATCAACCACGCCAATCACACGGGCTCCAGTCACACCTACCTGAAAAACGCGTACAGCAGACCGAAGCCTGCGGAACCCGAAGAGGAGCTTCTGCAGCAGTTTAAGCGGGAGGAGGTGTCCCCCACAGGGAGTTTCAGTGCCCACTACTTGTCCATGTTCCTCCTAACTGCTGCCTGCTTATTTTTCCTAGTGTTGGGACTGACTTACCTAGGGATGAGAGGGACAGGAGTATCCGAGGATGGAGGACTCGGCAGTAAGTATTAGACCCCGGTAGATAACAAAGGAAATGTTGCTGGTGGCCTGCATGAGCTGACCTGGGCATTTTCTCTGCGGTGGCTTTTACCTGTAGGATCCTGGTTTGCTAGTGAAACGCATCACAGTGCGCCTGTCGTCTTTGTGAGAAAGGACAGTGTCACAGAGATTAGAATGCGTCTTGTGTCTGATTTTTAGAGTTTTTCTGCACAACCTCTTGTGAAATTCAGAGTACCTACTAACGAGGTGTTGCAGACCTATTAGTGAAATGTGTTTGTGCATGGAACTTAGTTTTCTGTTAGCTTTAAGTACCAGCTACTCAACAAGGTATTGGGATTATTAAAGGGAATGGCAAATGCATTGGTTTTTCTAATTGAGCTGCGATTCTAAAGGCCATGTGATACCTCCTGAAACTTGAATTAGTTTGTAATGTTAAGTATCTTGGTAGATGAAAAAGTACATGAATATGAAAAGGCAGTAAGGCATCCCTCTTAAAATGATTTCTTTGGACCAACACATCCCTTCTCCTCTACCTGTAAAACAAAGTAATGGTAGGGCTGTGTAGGAGCTTGCTGTCAGAGGTTTACTGGCTTAGTGTCTGAGTCCTGTTGAACTTGGTCAGTGAGCGTGGGCAGATGTGTTCATTCATTCTTTAAGCCAGCATCATCTGTGCCAAGCTCTCAGAGTATCCCTGCTCGTAACACCAGAGAAGGGGAATACGAGCATCTTGTGTTCTCTGAAGGAAGTCGGGCATGCGCTGCTTTCCCCTGGATGGTGGGAAGAGGTGCTGTGTGAGCGAGACCCGAGGCAGGAGATGGCCTCGTGGAGATCCTTTACCAGGGGAGAGAAGGTCAGGAGTTGAGCAAGAGGCTTCCTGTAGGTTAGAGTGTTCAGAACGCTTGAGCAAGAGGGAGAACTTTGCTTTTGTAATCCGTAATACAGTGCTAATATTGCCTTGGATGATGCCTGTGAAGTTTGAAAGAGAAAATAAGTTAGTGCGTGATGAAGTACTGTGAATGAGCTTTCTCAGAGTTAGTCCCTTCTCTGCATTTCCCGTGGCGACTTCTTAAGGCTGCTCATCCCACGTGGATTTACCATAACATGATTTGTGTTTATAGAATTGGCTTACTATGTTCGTTTTGTTACAGACTTAAATGAAAGATGCAGGTAGCTGACTTAGAGTAGAAGTCAAAATAGTATAACCTTTGATTTAGAACCAGTTCAAAGATAGTCAAGTAATAGATTGTTACTGTATAGTTTAAATACAGGGATCAGAAGAGGAGTGTGAAATGCAGTTTTTAGTTTAATTGGTTCTCTGGGAGCAAAAGGGATGTCCTATTTCTTGCCTCACATTTTTGGGAGAAAGAAACATGGCCACGCTGAAAATTACATTTGTAAAGTGTAGATAAATTAAATGGCATTGCTTTCCAGCAGAACCTGTGCAGGCGCACCTATTCTCTAACTAGATAGCTGCAGGAGCTGGTAAACTTGTGAGAGTTGCTTGCCTCGCACCTGTTACGTGATTTAATCTCACCAACAAGTCACAGAAGCAGCTGGTGTTGTCAGTTTATTGTCGAGGATGATGAGACCCAAGTAAGAAGTGTACCCACAGTTGAGCAGTTATCAGAAGGGGCAAGATATGCTTTCAGAATTTTCCCCAACTTGACAGCGTATTTTTTTTAATACTATTTGACTTATTTTATAGTGCTGTGATTAAGACAATAATTGAATATCTGGTAGGATTTCATATGTAATTATGAGTGCAATTCTCTTTTCAGGTGACTTTCATATGACTTTCAGATCAATTCTCAGCGCTGTTTAGATGAATACTGTGTATTTAAAGTTCAGCTAGTGTTGGACAGGAATGCTAGAGCTTGGGAACTCTGTTATGTCCATCCCTATGGGAGGCAGGGAATTATGAAGTGTTTTGGTTTCAGTGATTGATAGATGTGAGGTGGTCTGGGTGATTTAAAGTGGTGATAAGAGCTCGAGCCTGGGTCCCAGTGGTGCCTAAATGGCTTTGGTCAAGCTCCTTAGCCCCCCAAGTCTTACTCCTCTTTGCTAAATGGAGTAATGATCTGTGCTCTCTGTGGAGTTGTTTCAAGATTCAAATGAACTAGTTTGTTAAACATAAGATGGTGGTATTCAGATCTTGGGATCAAATTTGTTATATTCCTGGTAAGCTACAGTGTGTGTGTCAAGAGAAGTAGTTAAGTCATTTCTGCAAGTAATATTTAGTAGAGCATTTCTTACTTAGTATTTTTAATTTTCATTAAACCCAGTCAGTGTTAATTACAGAAATGAATGCAGAAATTTGAGTTAAAGTGTACTGAATCTTTGAATGTGTGATATGCTTGACATACGTGGAAAGAAGTTCCTGCTGGTTCAGTTAGTAACACAGCTAACGGATTTCAAGAGTGAATAACTTTTTACTCCCTGTATTTAGGTATTCCAAACCTTTTGTCATATTATGATGCTTAACCATAGGGTTCATTGGTTGAATAATGTGCTTAAGAAATAGTTTTACTTTCAGTATGATTTCATCAGAAAATTGTAGGTTATATGTGACAGTAAGCTTTTATGAGTTATTTAAATTACATATAACATGGGAAGAACAGGAAAATTGGAAGCATTTGCCCTATCCACCTTCCCTCTTACTGCGACCCTCCCCACCCTATCAGTGGCCCTCATGGGCCTGTATTCTTGTTAACTATGTGAACATCAAAACTGAAATTTAAACTAAAAACATATATAACATATAAGACAGATTTGCAGAAAGATGGAGAGGCAGAAAGAAAGAACTTTCTGTCTGCTGATTCACTCAGCAGGAGCCTCTCTGGTTCACCCACACTGACACAGGGTCCCAAGGCTTTGGGCCGTCCTCTGCTTTGCCAGGTCACAAGCAGGGAGCTGGATGGGAAGCGGAGCAGTTGGAATATGAACAGGTGCCTATATGAGATCCCAGCACCTGAAGGAGAATTAGTCAATTTAGTCAATAGTCAATTTAGCCATTGTGCTGGGCGCTTAATCACTTGGTTTTTGAAAGCTTTTTATCAATACCTGTTTTTGTTTTTTTTAATTAAGAAAAAAATTTAATATCCTATTTTTATTAATAAAATTTTTGAGTCTGCCTTATCTTTAAGAAGTTGGATTAGATGACCTCTAAACTCTTTCCAGTTCCAAGGTTTAAGATTTTAACTTTTAACTTTCCTACCAATGCCATTCAAGCTTGCATCAGTCAGCATTTAAATGAAGCAGAAAGAATTGGCTGTCTTGGACTCTTACCACTGTTTAAAATCGGGAAATTTGAATATAAAGGTTGCAAAAAAAAAAAACCACCAAAAACCAAAACAATGGTTTTTGTATTTCTCTCTCCCTGATTTCACACACACCCCATTATAGATAAGTTCAAGTATTTCAAAGCTTTAAGACATATTTTCCTCATGTTAATGTATACATGTATAGATTTTCATTTGATAGCAAACGAAGTTTACTTGGTGCTGAGAATGAATGGGGAGAATGACATACAATGAAATTGATGATTAGCAGGACCAGGTTGTATAGCATCTGAAGGCTTAAGGACCATTAAAAGGGATCTAAATTTTAAGTGACAGTACATATTTTGCAACTTGTTTTTAAACTTGATCTTGTATCAAGAGGAACTTTCCTCATACTAATTTTAAGCACAAAGAAATCATTTAAATATCCATTGTCCGGTTCATTTCTTACCATATAAAAATGCTAAAATCTCTGCTATCCTGAAAACACTGTTTTCAGACTTCTTATTCTCTGACCCCTGCTTGGTGAGGCATTCTCATCTAATCTCATTTGAGTCGTCTAGTTGGTCCTGTCTGGTTCAGGTTTCCTTACCAGCCATTCCTCCGTAATCATTCTGCTTCAGATTGCCCATTATTTCCCAGTGCTCACCTCTTTGGTACATTCAGTTCATTGACAACTTCATGCTACTTTTCCTTTCTAAGCGTCGGTTTCCCTACTGTCCTGGTTTTCATATTCCTGTCAGCCTGTGTTTTAGAATTCATGGTTGCCAAACCTTTATCTTTGACTGTAATTTATTTATTTAAAACCACATCTATTTGGGTGAAACCCAGGTAGGCAAAAAGATCTCTCATCCACTGACTGACTGCCCGAAAGCCGGCAGTGACTAGGACTGAGCCAGGCCGCAACCAGGAGCCAGGGATTCAGGCTGGTCTCCCATCTGTTTGCCAGAGAGCCAGCCACTTGAGCCATCATTAGCTGCTTTCCAGGTTCCCATTGGTGAGAAGCTGGAATTCGGACATGAACTTAAAGTCACATTTTAACTGCCACGTCAGGTAACTGCCCAGTCTTCTTTTGTACAGTTCTTCCTAGGCAGTTTCTTCTGCTTTCCAGGGTAATCTTTACTTTGTATTTTCACTTTAAATTCCTTTCCTGTGGTCTAGACTTACCCCTTGGCTTGTTAGACACCATTTGGAAGTCCCAGTGCTGTTTGTCACCTTGATCTTATTTTGCCCTCCTGTTGGACTCAGTTGATCCCGTTTCCATCCACGTAGGGATCAGAAGAGGAACCTTGAGTTACCGACATTCCTTTTTCACCTTCTTAACCACCCTGATCGGTCCACCACAGCCTGTTACTATGCCTGCTACATACATTTTTGACTCACTTTTATTCTATCACGACCGCTCTTGGGTAGTCTCTTGTCTGAGATCTTTATAGCTTGCTTCTAAGCCATGGCTCTTCCAGTCCGCTTTCCAGTGTCAGAGAAATAGTTCTAAAACACAATGACAATGACCATGTGCTGTTACTGCTTGACTGTTACTTACTAACCGAAGTCTAAACTCCTTGGCTCAAACCGCTCCTGATCTGTGGCTGCTCTTGCTAGCTTCATTTCTAACTAGTTCCTCTCATCAAGCTTGCTTTCTAGAAAACTGAACTAGTTGATATTCTCTGAATAATTTAGTATGCCTTGGAACAGGCTATTCCCTTTGGGATTGTTGTTTTTC